TGGTGGTGATGAACAAGAAGACGAGGCATACGAAGAGAATTCAGTGACTAAGGTACTGAAATTCTCCTCCCCATTTAACATTATCTCTGAAATCCTAACTACCATTGTTCTTTCAAGTTTATGCATGCATCTTCAGAAGACCATGGTTGATTCAAATGTAAATATGTTTTATAGAAAATGTTGCATGTTAATTTATTAACACATTAGTATTGAGGTTTTTGGGGAAGGGAGGACACAAAGAAGTCCTCACAAACTAAAAATAGGAACGGAATTTTATAAAAGGTGAAGTCAGGTGGAATGGAGTTGAGAAAATCTTTTGGGTTTGCACAGACCTGGGTTTGTTATGCAGTTTTGTCAATTTTGAGCTATTTGGCACTGGGTAAGTTATTTAACATTACAGTGCTCAGATTAGTCTAGAAAAGGGTGATAAGGTTAAATGGAAAATGCAGGTAAAAATCCTATTGCGTTTATTGGTGCTCAATAAATAGGAGCCATCCTTTGTTACTGTTATTATTATTAGAATTATGGCATTGGGAGATTGACTTTGGGATGGTGGTGTGAAAACCTCAAAGACCACTCTCCCACAAAAGTGGTGAAAATACTGGCAAGGCAACTAAAATCAACCATTTCAGAACACTATATGAATTAAACAAAGTCACTGATAAGACTGAAAATACTTATCCAAGAAAAACTTCTGAACCTCAGAATGTCAGTGGAGGCTGTGCATGTCAACTTGGGGTTGTTCCCTTTCTCCCTGCCTCCCAAGCTCAGTGAGATGGTAGCTATGAAAGACCTGCAGGTCACAATGAACGTAGAAGACTGACCTCTTTTGAGACTCTGTTAAGAACTCTGTCCCCAGAGCACAGTCAATATTGTGTCAAAACTGGTACGACTTGGGAAATCTTCATTCCCAAGATACTGTGGCTATTTGATTTAACTCGGAGCTCAGCTCAGAAAAAAAAAAAAAAAAGCAGTATCACCAGGGAATCATAGAAAGAAATAGAATCTTCTGGCTACATTACATCTGCCTAAGATTGTAGTATCAATTGGTGCAAACAAGGGTCTAGGCACAAAAAAAAAAAAAAAGAAAGAAAAAATTAAAAGAAAGACCTAGAGAACTAGATGATCACAGGGAACTTTGAAAAGCACCTGTGAATTCCTGGGGATCCAGAAGAACGCTGTGCACATGTGCAGAGCTGTGTGCACGCCCAGGAAAGACTTGGGAAAGGAAAAGGCACCAGTCACTCACCTCTCGTCTTGAGGACCTGTGCAAGCAGGAAATTACAGCTAAGCCTGTCTCATAAACTGTTTGAAGTTTGAAGTCATGCCTTCACACACAAATCCCCGTGGCAAAGGTAGGAAGACATACAGGCAAGGCATTTAAGGAAATAGTCTGACTGATCATTGGCTGACCACTAAATTATAATGAACCAAAGGTGAACCCTAGAAAGCCAGGCTTTACTATAAAAACAAGAACATAAAAGCAACAACAACAACAAAGAGCTAGCAGAGAAATCAGTGATCAAGCATTGTAGGAAATATAGATCTACAAAATTAGTTCCAGAGTGTCACTAAAAAAAAAGCAGCAAGAAGAAAAACAAAACCAAAACCAAAACCAAAAAAACCAGAAACAACAACAAACCCTGGAGTGGACAGAGGGTTCTGGTACCCGAGTTGTTACAATGTATTATCTAAAATGTCTGGTTTCCAACAAAAAAATTACAAAACCCGCTAAGAAACAGGAAACATGTCACATACGTGGGAATAAAAGCCATCAGTAGAAATTATCCTTGAAGAACCCCAGATATTGGATGTACTAGACAAAGACTTTGTCAGCTATTTTAAACACATTTGAAGAATTAAAGTCAACCATGTCCAAAGAATTAAAGGAAAGTGTGACAACTAGGTCTCACCAAATAGAAAATAGCAGTGAAAAGATCAAAATTACTAAAAAGAACCCAATAAAAATTCTGGAGTTGAAAAGGACAATGACTGAAATAAAAAATTCACTAGCCAGCTACAACAACAGATTTGAGCAGACAGAACAGAGGATCAGCAAACTTGAAGACAGGCCAATAGAAATTATCCAGTGAGAGGAACAAAATGAAAAATGAATGGAGAAAAATGTACCGAAACTCATAGACCTGTGGCACATCATGAAGATTACCAACATATACTTGTTGGGAGTTCCAGAGCAGAAGAGTAAAGAAATAGAGCCAAAACTATTTGAAGAAATAACAGCCGAAACATTGACCAAAAGAACCCACAACACATTAGTCTATACATCCAAGATGCTCAGCAAACTCCAACAAACTCAAAGAGATCCACTCCTATCACGTCATAGTCACATTGAGAAAATTCAAAGAGAAAGAGAAAATTCTGAAAGCAGCAAGAAAAAAACAATGTAACATTTTAAAGTGAGTTTCAATACAATTAATAGCAGATTCCTCATCAGAAACCACGGAGTCCAGAAGACAATTAGATGACATCTCCCAAGTGCTGAAGGAAAAAGACTATCAACCAATAATTCTATAACTAGTAACACTCTCCTTGACAAATGAAGGTGAGAGAATCAAAAGACAAGTCACAGAATGGCAGAAAAATTTGTAAACTATATATCTGATAAAGGACTTGCACCAAAAATACACAAATACTAAAATACTAAAACTCAACAATATGAAAACAAATAGCCCAATTAAAAAATGAGCAAAAGATCTGAACAGACACCTTGCCAAACAAGACATATACATGGCTAATGAATCCATGAAAAGATGCTCAATGTCATTAGTCATTTGGGAAACGCAAATTAAAACAATAAGATACCACCTCACACCCACTATGACTATTATAATTAAAAAGTCAGACACTAACAAGTGTTGGAGAAAATGTGGAGAAATTGGAACCCTCATACTTTGCTGGTGGGACTTTAAGGTGTAGCCGCTTTGGAAAAGAATCTGGCAGTTCCTCAAAATATTAAATATAGAGTTACCCCATGACTCAACAATTTCACTCCTAGGTATATACCCACAAAAATAGAAAACATATGTTGACACAAGATCTTGTACACAAACGTTCATAACACATTATTCATAGTAGTATAAAAGTGGACTCAACCAAAATGTCTATCAAATGACAAATAGATAAACAAAATATGGTATATCCATACAATGGAATATTATTGAGCAATAAATAAGAATGAAGTACTGACATGAGCTACCATGAGTGAACCTCGAACAAATTATGCTAAATAAAGGAAGACAGTTATAAAAGACACATTGCATGATTCCATTTATATGAAATGCCCAGAATAGGCAAACCTATAGAGAGAAAATATATTAGTGGTTGCCTAGGACTGAGTAAGATGAGTGGTGCATACAAAGTGGGAGAATGGGGAATGACTGCTAATGGGTCTGGGGTTTCATTTTGAGATGTTGAAAATATTCTAAAGTTAGATTATGGTGACAGTTGCAGCACTCTGAGAATATACTAAAAATCACTGAACTGCACATGTTAAGTGAATAAGTTTTATATCTCAATAAAGCTGTTTAGCAAAACAAAGTTAAAAAGAAAGAATTATAGCATAAAGTACCTTTTCTAATTATGACAGTCTAATAGAGAGATAAAGCAACTGAGATAGCAGCTAATGGCCAAGTAAAAATGTTTGGTTACTTCAGGCTGAGTCCAAGTTCCTTGACATCAACATCGTCAGGTTAGAGGAGAGCAAGTGTCCCTGCGATGTTGACAATAATTTTGCAGAGCCATCCACAATCAGAAAGCAGGAGACACACCTGTGCTGTATTTTAGTTTGAATAAAGGAACCAAGCTAGCAATGATGGGCAAAAAGGAAAATAATGGAGAAGGCAGATTGTCTGTAAGAGTTTTTGCAAACTGATGTAAATGTTTAATTAGCAATTTTCAACCACTTTATTAATATGTTTGCAAAAGTATATATGTGTCAATGCAGTGCTTTTTGTGTTCAAGATAACTCATCAAGGTGGTACATATGTTTCCTCCTTCCAGAGTCATGCCATCAGTGTCTATTTTGAGTCAGTGAAGGGCTAATAATGCCAATGCTGTCAGATACTGAGGGACAACATGGGATCTAGACCTTCTCTTAGGTGTGGTATGCCCTGTGGGGCAGACCTCGCTGCAAAGCCTGGAGACAGGGCAGAACCACAGAAAGCAAGTGTTCCAGGTCAGCCCTTTGACCAGCTCAGAGAGCTCCAGCTCAGTTAATGGTATGGTCCCAAGCACTGCTCAGAAGAGGGGATCCAGGAGGCGTTAGGTCAATCCCTGGCTTGGGCTCAGGGAGCCCACAGACCCTTGGTAACAGCACCAGCAGAAGTGGGGTAGAACCCCTGTCTATGACACCCAGCTCTGGGCAGGTTGCCAACACTGGGCCTAGGGCAGCAGAAACATCTTGCTTCCTGGAGTAATTAACAAGATGGGGAATGGTCTCCAGAAAAGATTAAAGTTCACGCATCAGAACTGGAGACTAATTTTAGAGCAGGACTAAGAGTCAGTTCACCTATGGAGTCCTAGAGTGATTGCCTTATTAAATATATCTTTCCTGAGTTCTGGATGGACTAAGTTATGGGGAAGGGTGGAAGGTGTGATGAGGGTGGGCCAGGCAGTTAGATCTCGGTGTCTGGGAGCTAGTCAGACTCTGACCAGCACCTCCACTCTTTGAAGGTTGACTACAGCCATGGCTCTCCAAGATGGAAGAAATAAAGACAACGGCCCCCTGTGTGCCATGTCCACACAGACAATGTTGAGGCTTGTGACTGGAACATCTTCCTGATCATGAAGATCTGCAGCAGGAAATCTCTGGGTTGGGTTGCCTTTGCCTATGTATTTTTCCAGTTTCTGTGTGTTTGGGGAAAATTTGGAGAACAAATATGGCGTAAAATTTTAACTCCGAAGTGATCAGAATTATAATTTTGACATTAATGTTTTATAAACCTACACCATCAAGTGTTAATATTCGTTCTGTATTTTAGATGGCTACCCCAAAGAAGAAATGATTTATAGATGGAGAAAAAATTCAGTTGAGGCAGCTGATCAGAAATCCTGGCGGCTTTATCAGTTTGACTTCATGGGCCTCAGAAACACCACAGAGATCGTGACAACATCTGCAGGTAGGAATTAACTTAAGGAAGTGTAGCTCTCAAAAAAAAAAAGATGCAACTTTTTTTCCCCTGATGCCTAAGGTTCTATGCAGTCATACCTTTCATGTAGAATTCCTTCATGTGTATATTTTAACTAATTATATTCTGGCAACTGTGATTCCTAAGTGATATTTGGGGCAAAACAACTGATTCATAAGTGAAAATATTTTTTAAAAAATGTTTTGGTTGAGATGGGAGAACGGTGATTAGAATTGCCTTATATTTTTTAATCGAGACTGTTTGCACAATGTCTATAAACCTAACTAGGATTACTCACTGCTGACCATATTTATACAAACCAATTTTACTAATGTGAGAGTTCTACAACTTTCCACATACATAATAAGCTGTTATTGAGAATCCACAAATAAAAGAAACTGCTGTGAAATCTCCTTTGAGTTTCAATTTCTAGCTTCTTCCTTTCCTTTCCTCTCAACTCTATTTTAAACTTTGAGTTTCTTTTCCAATATATTGAGCACAATAATTATCCACCAATTTGATTTTATTAAGTGATTATTATATGCATATTATAAAGCATGTAATTAAGTTAAAAGAAATGCTTCACCTATTAATGTCTGAATGTTTTTGTTTGTTCATTTTAATAGGTTTCTTGTTTGTTTTTTGGTATTTACTTATTCCTACAGTCCACTATTTTGCAACTGGTTTTCTTCTGGCAGGGTGTGGGGTACAGATGAGGTTGGAGTCAGCTTTTCTATTGATCTCATTATTTGTTAATATGATGATTTATTGGCTCTTAAGACTCCATAATAATTTGTTTTGTTGATGCCTGAATTAAGATGTAAAGTTTGATAATTAGTGGTAAATATCTTTAAAGAACAGTCCAAATTCTTGATAGAATTATAAAATAGAGGACTATTTACACATTAAGAAAGGTCTGAGCATCTATTTGATCGATGGAGAAAAGCAAAACTTCCCTATAGGTGTCATAGTGGTAAAGGCGAGAAATGGCATCTGTGTTTAAATATTAAATATCAATAAGGTTAAAGGAATGGAAGATTCTAATTTATTTAAATGAACTGGGGAGGCAGCATAAAGGGAAATGTTTTTCTCAATTATGAGTCACCTACATTAATATGCAATTCCGCTGCCTAAGAGTTGAAATGAGCTGGCAGACCTTTAGGGTGTAAGGCAGCCCAAAGGAGGGTCACCAAACAGGGAGGATTGTTCTAGCGTTTAAATGTCAAACCGTGACGCACTTTTCCTTTCCTGGCATTCTCCAGAAGATATGTTAAAGGAAAGGAAATGCAAAGGCAAGTTGAACACACTGGCTCAGGGGTTTTGAAATTGACTATAGGAGAACAGGAGCCCAGGGAAGTGGCAAATGGAGAGAGCCGTGGAGTAGAGGGAATAACCTGAGCAATTACTGTGCTAAGTGTTACTGTGGTAAAAAAAAAAAAAAACAGGTATGAAAAATATTCACTGGCAGCAAGGAGCTTTAAGTCTCACTAGAAAAGCATGGTAGACAAGAGAGATTAATGAACAAACCAGGAATTTATACATCAGTATAACAAATAGACGTATTATGCTCAATTGTATGGAAGACAGAAGCAAAGTTTAGGGCAGTCTATTACCAATAGGAACTCACTGTTTCCCTAAAATTCGTTTTCTCGCTCAGGGCAAAGACATCATTCCCTGAGGCCAGTGACTGTATTGGCATTGATAGAAGGATGTTCTCCATCTGCTTCTATCTGCCTTCTCCAATTTATATATGAAACTTCACATCATGTTGAATCTTATAAATCACTGTGGCTTCTCTAGAAAATAAGCAAAAAATATATTCTAAAGAAATAAATCTGCATTAAAAAAATCAAACTCACTTGCCTCCAACAAATCTGTTTGTTGTTGGAAGACAGGAGCGAGATGTCAATGATGGATTTTCACTCTTTGTTTCTAGCGCCCCCAGGGGCTCAAGGTGGTCACCGCTCCCCCGTGCCTGTCTGCAATAGCCCAGAGTGCCCTAGATCCTATTCCCCAGTGGAAAGCCCTTGAGCTGTCATTATGATCACTCTTTTCATACTCCTTCAGCTCCCCTTCCCCTTTCTTTTGCACAAAACCTAACCCTATTAAATCCAGCCCTCTACCCACTCCACACTGCACCCATGCAGCATTATAGGGCAAATCAATCAATCAATCACACAATTTCCATCACTGGTCTCATTTAAAGTCCTTGGCCATGAATTTCAAGTGAGCTTAAAGGTAATCATACTACGTTGTGCTAGTCCAATGTTTCTCAACCTTTTATTCCTTATCACCTCCCCTAAGGAGTCTTTTTAGACAGTTTTTTCATTGTCACCTCCCCTTGAAATATTAATACTACAGATATGCTTGTATATCTTCTCATGTTCTATGGCCTTTTGGAGGGCTACACATGGTAATATCCAAGATTTTTCACCTCCCCACCAAAAACACATTTTCACCCCCTTAGAGGCAATATCACTTCCATTAAAATGGACACTCTAGTCTGTTTATTCTCCCCTCTCCTAGATGGCTAGTTCCTGTTTTGTTCTCTGTCTCAGCCTCTGACAGCTGCATCTTCTCCCTGACTTTCCGCTGGTGACCTTGCTCCTCACCATCCCTAGAATGCTGAAGCAATCAGAGAACTTCCAGCACGTTTGCCCACCTCTTGCAACTGCTGTCCCATAGTATTGCAGGTGAACACCCATTGCTTATCCATATGTGCACTAAGTCCTGTTCGTTCTCCACTACACAGGGATTTCTTCAGCACGTCTCCCTCTCTCTAACACCGTATATATTTTTTTCTTTTTTTACTTTCTACTGGATCCTTACAGCCATCAACTTAAAAACTAGTTGTTATTTCCCTAATCTTAAAAGAAAAAAAAAAGATTCTTTTAGTCAGGTTTCCAGCAAGCAATTAAAGGCACACACAAACTAGGTAATTAAGAAGAAATTAATATAGAGAAGGAACTGTTTACAATCCTGCTGGCAGATCTTAGGGCATATTGCAATAAGGCATTGTGGTAGGCAGACTAATGGCCCCCAAAGATGTCCATGTTCTAGTTCTCAGAACTTGTGGGTACATCATGTTACATGGTAAAGGGGAATGAAGGTTGCAGATAGAATTAAGGTTGATTGTCAGCTGACCTTCAGATTGAGAGATTATCCTGGATTATCTGGGTGGGCCCAATGTGGAAAAGGGAGAAAGAAGAAGAGAGTCAGAAGGAGATGTGACTCTGGAAGAAAGGCACAGAGAGGTGCAGCATAGCTGGCTTTGAAGATGGTGGAAGGGGGCCACCAGCCAAGGAGTGTGGGCTTTAGAAGGTGTAAAGAGCAAGGAAATGAATTCTAGAGCCTCTCAAAAGGAACACAGCCCAACCGATACCTTGATTTTAGCCAAGCAAGATACATGTCAGATTTCTAACCTAAAGAACTATAAGATAATTTTTTGTTGTTTTAAACCACTAAGTTTGTGGTCATTTGCTACAACAGCTACAGGAAACTAATACAGGCATATCACAGTACCCTTGTGCTAGTGGCACTGGGGAGCTGTTGACACCTCATGGCTGAAGAGGCAAGTGGAGGGAGTGGTTACTGGAATTGGGAGAAATAGCTGCAGTGACAGCAGGTGTTGCTTTAGGCAGAAAATCCAGCCTGCAGCACTGAGGCAGGTAAGGAGCCTAGGAATAACTGCCCCAACCTCCCTCTCCTCACAGTATCTGTTCCTTCTCCCAAATGGTCAAACTCAACCAGAACCTGAGGCTCAGGGAACTTATCTGCTGTGGTCCAAACAGCTAAGCCTCCTGGGCATTAGGCAGGTAAAAGAGGTAGAAGGTGGATCTGAAGGGGCAAGAGAAGGTGCCCAACAGAATGTTACTCCCATCCTGCCTCCTCCACAAACTACTGCCCTTTCGTGCCCTTTGCAGCAAAATCTTCTAAAGAATTATCTAGTCTCACAGACCCCCAATGCCTCCACTTCCTTTCTCTTGAGCTGCCTCCAGCAGGGCTTTCATTCTCTTTCACCAGCACTGTTCTCGGCAGGGTGACCGGAGACCTCCACACTGCTGAACCTTCTCTCATCATCGCTCCTTCTTCTCTCTTCACTTGGCTCCCAGGACACTCCTCTCTTGGATCTCCTCCCACTGCTGTCTGTTTCTCAGCATTTTTGTGTTGGACTTTCACCTTCTCCCACATTCCATTCATCTGGAAGTGCCCCAGGGCTCTGTTTTTATCTATACTCACTCCCCTGTGAGTCTCATTCAGGCCTCTGTGGTGTTAACTCCCAAATTTACATCTCTAGCCCCAGATCAAACATCTCAGAATCTCCAGACTTGTGGATCCAGCTACTTGCTCAGTGTTTCCTCCTGGATGTCTCAGAGACCTCTCCCACTTAGCATGTCCTAAACTGACGTCCACAAGGAATTCCACTTGCAGTCTTCCCCAGAAAGATGGTGGCTCCCCCATCCTTTCATTTGCTGAGGTCAAAACTCCTGGGGTCATCAACTCCTCTTTCTCTTATACATTATATCCAATGTATCAGCAAATGCTGTTAAATTTATCTTCAAAATATTCTAAATGTTAGGGCTTCCTACTAGTTTCACTGCTACTATCCTGATCTGAGTCACCATCATCTCTTTCCTCAATTATAGCATTAGCCCCCTAATTTGTCCCTTTGATTCTAGCCTTAACAACCTACAGTCCATAAAACACTGATTCTTCATTATTGAAGTCAACATTCCTCTGCTCAAAACCCCTCCATGACTCCCCTCTTTGTTTAGAGCAAGTGCAAGGGTCTTTACAATGGCCTACAAAGGTCTACTTGGTCTGGCTCTTGATGGTCACTTACTTGTCACTCACAGCGCCCTCTCTAACCCTGCTCCAGCCATATCAAGTATGTCCTCACTGTATGGATTTTATGGGCTGTTCTCTGTCTAGATGCCTTTCCTCAGAGTTTCTACATGACAAACTCTATTATATTCTTTGAGTCTATGCTCAAAAATCATCT